CATTTCCAAATGACTTTTTTATGTCTCATTGGAAAGCCCCAAGATTTTAAGATGACATCTCACCTCTTTCTGTAAAACCACTCTGATTATCACATTCACCTGCATTGTTCTTTCATGAGCATTTGGGGTTGTTCCTAGAAATAACAAAAGGTACATTTTCATGTGGAATCTACTTTAAACCAAGGCAAATTATTAGAAATTATATTGTAATTTTTTTCTGCTTTGAAACAAACAAAAAAAAGTGTTAAACTCTGCAAAGGAATACTTAAAAGATTATAGCCAAAAAAAGTTAAATGTGAGCTCCGTTTTTTTATTATTCTTCAGACAGCAAATTACCTAAAAGGGTGTAGTGAAATGGCTCTACACCTTGGACCTCTGCTTCTAAGCGTACAGAAAGGTGCTGCTCAGAAAAAAAGTCAACAAAAATGAAATTAAAAAATAAAGATTTTGAGGCTAATTGAGAAAAGGCCATTATAAGTAAATAGTAGTTCAGGGTAATTAAAAAGTTCAGTATAGTTTTTAAAACCAGTTTTAAAATTATTATCAAAGCAACAGAATTTAAAAACTCTTGGTCTGAATTTTACCAAACTTTCCACAAAACTAATTTACATTGAAAGGTGGCATGCAAAGGCTCACCAAAGTATTTTAGGAGGAGCTGATTATTGTGCTGGTGGTATCCTTGTGATCACTCCTAGTAATCAAGGAATACTGCTTCTGCTTGATTAGAACTCGGTCTTCACTAGTAGAAAGTCACAGTGAACATCAGTCTTTGGTCATTCTGTGCTCCCGTAGCTTAGAATTGAGTGTAAGAGGAAATCCTCTCTCTTCAGGATGTGTGGAAATCTTTGTTAGGTGGTCTATATTTTGCTTGTCCATCCTTTCCCACTTTTCCTAGCACAATTGCGAATGCTCTTGAGATTGCATTAAGCATGCTTAGACTGCCCCCAAGACACACTGAAAGGGATGTTGTTCTTCCTTCACCTCAGCTTAGTCATTGAGGGAGGAAATTTAAAGAGGAATTAGTGAACAGTTAAAATTTTTTCTGTGTTAATAGCTTGTTATGGAATAATCCTATGCCAGGAATAGACTCATCAGTCTGGATAGTAAAGTCATGGTCCAATGCCATGGAAAGTAAAAGATTTTAGTAGACAGATTCCTCGGTTCCAGCACTACAAAGTGCATGTGTGAAAACAGTCTTTTTGTCATCTTGTCACTATTAACAGTCAATATTTAATACAAATATTGGTTCGGTCAACTTTTTAATTAACCACAACAATTATGCATTCAAACCTTAAACTTTATCAATTAAAGGTAGACAGTAGGAAATATGACCATGTGAAAAAGCCTATTTAGAGGTGTTTGTTCACTCCACTAAAACAAGAGAAGTTTGGAAGCAGAATTTAACCTGGTTTTGGAACTTGTTTCTTTTATGACTCCTGTTGCAGTTTGGTACACGTGCCTCAGCCATCTCCACATCCTAATTTCCCCTACTTCCTGTTACTCAAAAGAAGAAACTTATTTCATGCGTGCAGTATTTTGTTTCTATAAAGAGTCTGCATTTAAAATGGAATCCACATATTTTAAAAAGATGTGCATCCACATCTCTAGGTCTGTGAAGGTTGTTGAGCTACTTTGATTTATAGATGTTGTGATATAAATCTTAAATCCCTTGCTTTCCCAGATTTCTGTGAGCAGCTCAGCTGTGGCTGCTGATGGTTCCATCCACAGGGTAAGAGATTTAGAGATGACTGGCTGTGGCTTGTGTGATGGAAACCAGTTCAGTATTTATAGTTTATGTTTTGAAATTTCAGAATAAAATAACATTGTGACCTGCTTTTTAATCCAACCATTTCAGTCTATGTCTTCCTTTCATCTATTGTCGTGCCAACAATCCATTCAGTACCAATAAGAGGCTTTGTGCTGTGATTGGACTGTGAGATTGCAATGTTATTGAAAGGTATCAATGTGATACGCATTTGTATACCCAAAATAGTGTATTTCTTCTGATGCAGATAGGTATCAAGAAATCTTGAAAGCTTGAGTAAGTAAAATAATGAGGCAATAAAGTCAGAGGATCAAATAAAATAAGTTTGTTTCCCTTATTCTATATTTATCTCAATATTCTTGTCTTATTCCTCAAAATGTGAAGAATGACAGGGAAATGAATGAAATACAGAAAGTGCATATTTAACATCTCTTCAGTTACCAAAAAGGAGTTGCAGCAAGGCTACCAGAAAGGTAATGGTTTTCTGTGTAACATATTTATGCTGGTTGTAAAATTAGGAACTGTCATTACAACCCCACATCACCTGAGTAAGTGCAAAACACGTAAATCGAAGAATTTTACTGCTATAAAACTGTCAATGAACTGAATGGCATGAAAGTACTACAAGGTATTTGTCTACCTGTATACCAGCCACTAGGATGCAGGCATCAATAGAGGATTTAATTGTCAAATTTTAAAGCTGATATCTGGCCCTCTCATGTTTTCTAGTTAACTCACTGACCGTGAAGTATTTTCATCTATTTTTCATAGGACTGTGAGTGTTCCAAGTATGAAGAACTGATGACTTACCTATAAACATCATTTAAAGTTGAAGATACTATTTTAAAAAGTGTTGTGCTGTCTTCGTGTACTTTATTCAAGTTATGATACTGACATGCTAAAAACCCTGCAATTAACAATTAACATCATAGAACTGGATTCAATATGTAATGGATACATTTAAAATAGGGGATAGTAAAGGAAGGATATGGGCAGGAATCAGAAAATTAATGGGAAGGTAAATTCCACGTGGTGATGTGTTCAGACAATGTGTGGAAAATATAACACAGTCTAGATGGAAGAATGAAAGGACCTAAAGGATTTCAGGGAGGGTTTGTGTTTTTGGGGGGTCTTTTGCTTTTTGCAATGCTCTGGTGGAGGCTACTATGAAGCAATGCCTAGCAGGCCAAAACTGACTTTCCTTTTGTTTCTGGTAGATTGTAATGAAATGACTGTATAAAGCACGGTGCTAACTAATAGCAATCATAATGGGAATACTGATAATCTTTACAGGGCTATATATTTTGTTTAGTCCAACCAAAGCCAAAGTTTCTCTCGAAAATATAGCTATATCTGCAGTTTAAGCAAACATTTGATAACTTATCTGGAGGCAGAGTAAGGACAAAAATAGGATCATCTTTAAGTCTGCCTGCAAAAAAAGAATGTTAAGGGAGTTCTAAGTTGCTAGAAAATGTAATGTGCTTTTATTTTTTTTCATGAAATAAGTATTGCTATTTATAGTAGGCATCACTACAGCTATAGGAAAGATGAGATAATGCAAAACAGAGCAAAATGATTTAGAATCAGAAAGCTGATATAGAAAAATATGACTGACTAAGCACCTAAAACTTGTAAAAGAATAATATTATGCTGACATGTCTGGTCAGTCGCTATACTAACTGAAGTTTAAAAAAAACAAGTACAGCCGTTGGTCTATTACCAACTTTAGTTGCAGTGAAAAGCGGAAGTCTTGAAGACGAATTTTCTCTTAAGTTCTTAGCATCTGTGCCCTTGAATACCTTCAGAGAAAAGAGGACCTAGAAAATACTGGCTCTACAGCAGTCACCATTTGTAATTATGAGCTATTGTCTGAATCTATCAGCAATGAAGCCACCTGTTTGCCCAGTATAAATAAGTTAGAATTTCCTGCAAGGAAATTACATGAAGCATCAATAAAGAATGATATTATGTTTTTAGGTCAATATGACTATCATTACTTGGCATTTATCTTTTCTTACTGATACCACGTTTGGCAGCCAGTATCATAGAAGACTAAGAAATTGTTGCTCTGTATTATTTTTTTCATTGGTGTTAAATTAGTCTGTTCAGTAATGGCAGTCATCCATTCTGCTTCTTTTAGTAGATCCTTGGTATTTATTTTTCTTATCATGTGTTGTAAAGAGAGCAATATGTAAAGATGCACTAGTGCTGTGATTGTTCCAGAGGCATTAGACCATCAGGGTCTTTGGATGTAAATGTTTTTGTACACACTTTAAAAGGGTGCAGAATGAACTTCACCTCTTCTCTCTGCTATGGACATGCCTGGCTTTGGCACTAAGACAGAAAAGGAAGGGAAGGTTCCTGAAGCCTTGTGCCCTCTTCTCAGTGCTCTAGCTTTCTCTGGTCACGGGGCAAAGACAGCCTAGACCTAAGAAGAAACCTCAGCTTGCATTAGATGCCTATGTTTGGTTATACTCAGACTCAATTGCTGGCTTTGTGCTCCTGGCATTGAGAGTTTAACAAAATATTAGTTTTATGATTTCTCAGCCTTTTTTGTAGTCACTGCTGCCTTTGAAATATAACTGCCTATTACTCGCTTTGTACTTTTAAACTGTATAATTTATATGTAGAAGATGAAGTTTCAAGTACCTATTCCAGCAACTAACATGGATATCTAGGATAATACAATACTTCCCTAAGCTTAGCAATAACTTTGATACCTCTGATGTATTTCCAAATATTGCCTTTTTAATGTTGTGTTTACTTCATTTCAGTTTCAAATAAGATAAATAACATGTTCAGATAAATCTCTCATATCTTTCTAATTCCTGAGTAATATTTAGATTTTATGTGCACATTTCAAAACATTTACATTATGTGTAGCCTCTTTTTCAATAGTATTTTTCATTACATTCTGCATGTTGTCATAACCATGTGCAAAATAACCTTCTACAGGGACTTGGGATATATTTGAATAAATGATTCATTTCCAGCGTTCTTGGACATTTAAATAGATTTTTTTTTTTTTTTGGAAAAAAATAAATTCTTTTATCCTTCAAATTTGAGTCACTGAAAATGACATACCCATTTTATTTACTATATGCAAGGCAAATGTGAAATTAACACTAGTATATAAAATGTAAAACATATTTAAGTAGTTAATGTCAAATGATATGATCAGGGGTGCCTTAGAAATGAATGTGCAGACCTTGCAACATAACTGTTTTTCATTCAGTTATAGGTGCCCAGCGCAGGAGAAGTCCCAGTGCCCTTGCCATTGAAGTATTTGAATCACATTTGGGAAGTCATATTTTACAGGTAAATAAATGGCTTTTCCAAGAAAAATCAAAATAACTAGCTAGTCATGTTTCTGCCAATAATTTGAATAGTATTGTTGTCAGCACATATTTATATTTTTTTTAAGGCTCATATTTCCTTCTTTTTAGAAAGCCTGTGATTGGGAGAATGTTAATGAGAGGGAGGGCAAGTATTATGTAGCTGAATCACAACATTTTGTTGTTTACAACTGTGCAGTAGGTGTGTGCTGGCAGAATGACTTTATGTATTTGTGTGTATGTGTGCACAAAACAGTATTTTGTGTTGGTGATTTGAATTGCCTTATGTGTCACGTATAGATTTCGGGCTTCCCCCCCGCTTTGGTTTATGAGCACTGCTTTCCTCCCTGATATCCCAGTTGTCACAATTATATATCATAAATTTGCACCGATCTGCAAAAAGAAAAAAATGAACAGCAACATGCCTCTTAGGTCTCCTTAGCTATGAGATAAAAACTAATTGATATTTGTCAAGGAATTTGGTGACACTGTATGAGTTGTGGTATTGCGGGAAGATTAAACTGAAAAACAATGGCCCAATGGAAACATTCTTATGCATGCTTTGTTTTGTCAGTTACTACAACCTTTCTTAGGCTGAAGTAATCAAATGTGGAGCAGAAGCAGTTAAGAACAAAATGCGATGTGTTTTGTCAGCAAGGCAAAAACCCAGCACTACGGAAATAAAATTCACATAGTCTTTTCTAAGTGTGGCACTGAATAAATGCTCTTATTTAGCAATGTACACAGCTTCTCAATGCAAATATATTGCTTGGTGTATTATCTTTTGAGAGGTACGAAAGAGGTAAATTAGGATATTATCATGAGAAATATTCCACTTAATTTGAAATGATTGAGAGCTATCTCTCTGTACTAACTCAGCTGTGGGATTCAAAAGCACTATGGATAATGTCAGATTTTTCACATCTTTATAAAGTAACTAAATGCAGAATAGCAACAAAGATAATTTTAGGAAAACATGAAATTAACTAGTAGAACGAATTTCTTTTTGGAACAAAAATCATGAATGAAGTGATTTACTTAGTTGCACACCCTTGGCAGAGGTCTAGGTCAAGTTTTTGATTCTGTAAGCAAATACTTGTGTTATAGTTACCGTATCAAAGATATCCGCACCAGTATCTACAGTACTGTCTTTGCATATTAGACAGAAACACTGTTATCCTGTCTCATAAGTGTAGAAAAAATGAAGAAATAGCAGTTTTGTGATATTTCAGTTTATGTAATTTGTCAGTGTGTTGTTTTGAGTATGTAAACATGTACTATATATCCTAAAGGTATGGTTTTTACAATATGAATTATAAAAAATATCTAGATAAAACCTCATTGAGACTGATTTGTATACACTTCTTAGGTATAAGGTATGACCCTTTATGAATGAAAATGAAAAAACCTAGGGTGGCCACTTTGAAAACTACTTGACATTTGGGTTTTGCACTTATGGCCTATTTAAACAATTAGTGATTTTATTATTTAAGCTAGATTCCCCTTTTGGTTTTTATTTTTTGTACTTATATATGATAAATTATTTTCAGGGTATAACTTCATCATAGCACTAGTTAAATAAACTATATTGGACTTGATTTTCAGACAAAATTACCATCAGCAGCGTATTGAATATCTGTTGAGGTGTGGCCTTTTCAGAGAGGGTGGTGCTTTACCAAATTACTCCCATTAATCTCTCAATTGATAATAGAAAGTTCCACTCTGACATTTAAAAGAGAATAGACTGTTGATGATGGATAAAGGACAAAATGAATTAATAATGGTGGCGAGTTTATCATGATATGTTAAAATCTTGTCTTGTTTTAGCAAAGTAATCAACACTTGGAAGGAAAGTTTAGGTCATGCATTCAAATGCACCACTTTTAAGAGATCTGAATGAACTTCCAAGTACTGCCTTGTGGTCTTATAGGTAGAAAGATAATCTCCAGAAGACAAAATGACTTTTAAAACAACAATCAGACAGATTTTGTGGTGGAATACAGTTCTAACAAGTTCTCATTTAGTCTGCTGCTTCTGGAAATTATTTTCAAAGCGGTATTGTGATAACTATTGTTTGCAAGTGAAGTAAACAACCTTGATTATACCTTGGGAATACCCGTGTTTGATTTCAGAGTCTGCTATCTGAAGAAGTTGAATTAATAGTTAGTTTGTTTAATCCCTTTTGCTATTAATATTTTGAAGACTGGGTTAAGTGTAAGCTCAGAAATTAAGGAGCCTCTCTAATCCTTCTAATATTTTGGTACTTCAAAAATTATTGACAGACACATGAGAAGCATAATACAGTATGTTTAAAAAAGTGGATATAGTTTATTTATAGTGATGTTGTAAAAAATAGAAGTGGAGGTACACCTTGTGATATTTTACATCTTGATTCTACAAGCAAGTAGTGTAAAAAAATTGCCAAGCCACAGCCAGTTGCTGTATATCATGCTGAAGAGATTCCCACAGTAGGTTTGAAGCCAAAAACACTATCCATTGTGTGCTTGTGGAAAAAAAGACACCACAAAACATGAATACCCAAATGCTATCATATCAGAATCTTCACGTCAGGGCATAAAGTCTTTTGAATGTTTTAAAGGTAAAATCGCCTGAATGACCAGAAGTAGAAAGGCTTGTAATACAGGAGGAAAATAGATAATGGCAATATGTTAATTAATTTTTTACAAGATTTTTGATTTGGCAAATTATGTGCTTTCTTATCTTCTACATTCTTCTTCTTCTGAAAAGTGGTGTTGTAATGGGAATAGATTTCAGTAAAGACATCTTCAGTTTTAGAGTTCTGTATATGTCTTTTATATTTGTTTATTAAATAAATCCAGTAACAAAAAAATTACTTCTGGTACCTGCTCTTCAAAAATTTGGCTGAAACTGGTTGTAAAACTTAGCAAGAAGAATATATTTTTTTTCAGGACCCCTGCATTTTTTCTGCAACTTCATTGCTATTGAGAAGGTGTGGAAAAGGGTCAGTAACCCCATATTCTTCATATAATCAGGAATGATCAGGAAATGTAGAACTAAATATAGAGAAAAGGGAAAGTTAGTGAATATATTTGCATATGCAAATTAGCTTAATTGATACTGCTTGCCTCTACAGGGATTTTTCATTACAAACTGGAGTGCTACATTGTTCAGCTCATATTGAGTAATTTAGTAACTAATGAGACCAGTTTGCACTAATTTGCATATGATAAATGAGCTTAATTGCAGTAAATAACTTGGAGGCATAATTACTTAATTTTCCTGTGTTGCATGGCTTTTAAGTTCACGTATGAACAACTCAAGATAATTTTGCATATTTAAATTAGTTGCTTTTAAAATTCTTGAACAAAAAAGAACACACCTTACAATTTGAACTGTAAAACAATTAAAAGTAAAATGTACCGTATTTTCAAATAAATTTAATATTTTAAAAAATATATATTTCTTCCTTTAAAAATACCAATGCCTTCTTAAAGTATAAATATTTGGAATTAAACAGAATTGAATAGTTTTAAAGTCAGAATAAAATAGAAAGATGGTATTAGTGATAATAGTAGAACTGTGTATTTGAACTCTAGTGAGCAGTACACATTTTGTATTCCTGTATACAAGAGTGATAACTTTCATAATTGCGTTCTTTAATTCAGCAGTGCCTATTCAACTGTTAAGAAATTGTAACACTTTCATATAGCATTTTATTACGATACACAATAACTTGGATACTCGTCTTAAATTGTCTGTACTGTCCTATTTCTACCTAGTTTTGTGTGAAGAAATCCTTACATTGGAAAGATACTAAAGTGTCAGTGCAACAAAGATTTCTCTTTTTTCTCTTTCTCTTTTTTTTTGGGGGTAGACTTGGTCAATGGTGAGCACTGTCATGAATAACCATTGTGATAGAGATGTCTACCATGAGTTTAAAAAAAAGAAAAAACCAAAAAACAAACAAAAAAAACCCCACAAACCAAAACGCAAACCAAACCCAAAATCAAAATATATGAAAGGTCCCATTTCATTTCTGCTATGTCCCTAAAGTTATTGCCTATTAGATACTTTTGATAGAATTGATAGAATTGGACTACTGAACTAGATAGGGAAAAAAGCTCAAATACCAAACTACCAATCTTATGAACAATTCTGTACCATAGTGAGATCTGTTGAGCATCCGTGACTTACAAGTGGATAGCACTCACTGAATTCTCCATCTGTGCCATAAAGGGGCCCACCTACCTTCCTGGAAGCTTTTCCAAAGCCTTGTTGAACATTATCTTGGAAATTTTATGAGACTTGCATTTCCCTTTTACTTTATATTGTACATTTTTCTCCCATTAACAAGCCTTCGTAATTGCAGTATTGGATTCAATGAGGGGCAAAATAATCAGGTTCCTATTAAGATCAAAGGAAAGACAGCCTCAGTGCAAACATTCTGACCCTATAGGCTGTATTCTTCATCAGTGAGTCAAGACCCACAAGAAAAAAACCACTTAGCTTGGATGGAGGGGTTCACAATTCAGAGAGAATACCTGTTGTGGATGTGCAGTTGCGTTCAAGATGACCCCGCAAAGTCATCTGTAGTATGCGCAAGGGCTGTAAGCCCCTGTTTTACTTCCTGGGAGCTTCTGTATCACCACAAACTTGATCATGTAATGTAGTCCGAGAATGGGAGCGGAATTTGAACTGCTTGGAAGCTACATATGGCATAAATGCTGCAATTTGGCTTTATTCCATGCAGTGGTCCCAGTCTTTCCGTGAATGAAAGGCAATCTGATATTTTGTAAACATACTTCACATCCTTTTCACTCCACTGGCAGCCTCAGATTGTCGATGGAACTTCGTGGAGATTTACGTGTGTCTTTTACATCCATCCTATAGAGAAACCTCAGGTTATTAGTCCCATTGATGTTATTTTAGCTTTTCTGTATTTAAAGTCAATAAACAAACAAACCACCCAAACCCTAAGGACATAGGAATCCTGATGAATTG